ACGAACAGCATCAGAACAGAAGACACTTTAAGTCAGATGTCGGGCTTTGCAAACAATTTCTGGAGAGTCGTGCGATTCACTAGCGATTAAGGCGATGCGCTAGCGATTCCAGCGGTGCATCAACGATTATTGGTCGCAAAGTATGACACCTGCCACATCGTTTCCTAAAGTTAACCTTACGTAGGGCAAAGTTGCAGCTACTCGTTCTCTTTTCGATAATTACAAAAATTCTTGCATACACCATGTTTCCTGAAGCTATACAGTTCGTCATAGCACGTTTTGGCTCACTTTCGAATAATTGCTTGATTTACGCTGGCTGAATCGTTTTTTTGTTCTAAGCCACACAGATCACGCCATAGCATGACGATTACAGAATGTGCGAGTGGTAACGATTTCTTCGAGGCCGCAGCCACAGGAGGCGTTGAGTCTGTAGTTACGAATAGGCCAGCTGCGGGAAATAGAGTACATGTCGTAACGACAGAACAAGTGAAAGTCAAAGAAGTGTGACAGTAGGTGAATTAAATGGTCACTGCTTCGATTTGCACATATGTACGGTGTGCTTCGAAGCAGCACAATGTGGTGAACCACGGTGATCTAACACATGGCAGTATTTCAATATCCCTCACATCTGCGTAGCCCAGTTGGAGGAAACTGATAAAAAATTGAGGATTCGATTTTAACAAGGAATGAATCCTTCTTTTATGGAGTGACCCTTAGTGGTGGAAAGCGCTAAGATCTCCTGGAACCTTCATGTACCCCTTCAAAGAACACTACCGTGTCTATGTAGCTGTATTCATTCGATTCTATCGTAATAAAACTGTAAGGGCGGAGGTAAGGGACGTTGCAAACAAGGCATAGAGTTCAGGGGTTTCGATCACTTATCGATTCTCGCCGAGGCCAATCGAACCTTCCATCCCTCCGGAGTTAGTCAACTGATATCAATCTACTGAACGCTACCGCGATTTGGTGTTCAAATAGAATGCATGGCGCATCCGGTAAAGGAAAGGAAAGGAAAGTAAAGGTAAAAGATGACCGATAAGCTCTGTCAGTTTTCCTCCTTATGACTGTATGATCTTGAACATAGCCATGTGCAGCTCCCCTTACTTCCCAGTTTTGCAATGACGTTCGACACCCTTCATGTCCAGTTGGCCATACTCTATTATTTTTAATTTTTCTTGACTCGTTTCATCCCTCCACCAAAGTCAGAGTCAGCACTGCTCGTACGTCCATATTTGGAAAAGCAGACACCATCGGAGCTACACGCTATCATGGCTAGTGGATTCTCATGCATTGCTGGTTCCTTGTTCGCTGCCTATGTCTCCTTTGGTGCCTGCCCCAAGTGAGTTAAGTGAGTTAATTACGATAAAGAGGGAGCGCATCGGGGAAGCATATGCACCACACGAATCAGTTACTTGGCTGCCAAGGAAGCGAGGTGTGGCGCTTTCACGACGAAAGGTGCGCTGGTTGCTGAGCAGGACTTCGAAAGCACTCCGCCCCCAAAAGCGATCCGCCCACTAGTTTACTTGGTGATTTGGACGAGCTGCGTTGCCAGCAGCGGCACAAATGGAGCATCTCGATTGAAGCGTGGTTTGGCATGGTGCCACCAAACGCGTTGCGTTGAACTCGCTGCTCATGCATGAAAACCAACGGCCAGAAAAAGGTCCCTTTTGCGTTTTCATGTCGGACTACTACTAGCGTACATTGAGCATTACCACGTCTCCTTTAGGCCCTTCTTGAACCTATCGTT